TTAAATTTTTCCATTGTTCAAATTTTACATTCAATTTTTGTTTTTTTGGTTTTTCAATTTAGACCTCTTTCGATTTCTCGGTTAATCGATTTTTTCTCGACTTTCCAATGTATCAATTTGTCAACTCTTCAATTTTTCGATTTTACAGGTTTTTGATTTTTCAATTTTTCGATTTAGATCTCTTTTTAAATTTCTCAATTTTTCGATTTGTTGACTCCTCGATTTTCTGATGTTTCGATTTCTTGATGTTTCAGTTTTTCATTTCTTAGATTTCTCGGTGTTTCAATTTTTTTTACTTTTCGACTTTACGATTTTTCAATTATGTATTTAAAATTTGGATTTTCGATTTCTCGGTTTTTTGAATTCGATTTTTAAATTTTTCATATTTTAGTTTTTTTTTTTATATTTGTATATTTCAATTATCAGATGATTCTGTTTTACGGATTTTTCAAATTTTCAATTCTTAACATTTCAAAATTTTCAATGTTTTGATTTCTCAATTTTTCGATTAAGCGATTTTTTGATTTTCTCATTTCTCGACTTTCCATTGTTTCAATGGAGGGTGGGTGGGCGGGGCTAGTGTTTGATAATATAAGACTGATATTGGCACTTTTGACATTTTCGATCATTTTTCAACTATTTCCGAAAATTAGTTGAAAACATTTTCTTGTAGATCGCTTATTTTTACTTTATTCACATCCTATATTTTATTATTAGTTTCCACTCCCACTCCACATAAGAACATAATTAGTCCCGCCCATCCGCCCTGTCTCCTTTTCAATAATTGATTTTATCCGATCTGAATGAAATGAATGATCTATTGAACAGAAATAAAATTATTCAGTCGTTAGAATGAATAGAAATAAATTTTACAACACATAGTATTTACGATTAGCGTTTTTTTACGTTTATAAAATTAGTTGTTAGAGTGAGAAGCTTAGCTTTAGCTCTTGCTAAAATACGATTGATTTTGGGAAATAACATACCTTCCAAAAAATTGAGGGTGGGTGGGAGGGGCTAATAGTTACTAAGATAAAACTGACTTTGGCAAATGATATACCTTCTAAGAAAATAGAGGTTGGGTGGGCAGTTTTTCGAATTTTTAATTTCTAATTTTTTAGTTTTTGATGTTTTGACTTCTAGATCTTTCGGGTTTTAGCCTTTTCGGTTCAAGATTTTTTAATTTTTAAATTTTTCCATTTTTCAAATTTTACATTCAATTTTTGATTTTTCAATTTTCGCCTCTTTCGATTTTTCGGTTTTTCAGTTTTTCGATTTCTGGATTTTTTATTTTGCGACTTCTCATTTCTCGGTAAATCGAGTTTTTCTCGACTTTCCAATGTTTCAATTTTTCAACTCTTCAATATTTCGATTTTACAGGTTTTGGTCTCTTTTTAAATTTCTCAATTTTTCGATTTTTGACTCCTCGATTTTCTGGTGTTTCGATTTCTTGATGTTTCAGTTTTTCAATTCTTCGATTTCTAGGTGTTTCAATTTTTTTACTTTTAAAATTTGGATTTTCGATTTCTCAGTTTTTTGAATTCGATTTTTAGATTTTTCGATATTTTAGTTTTTTTTATATTTGCATATTTCAATTATCCGATGATTCAGTTTTACAGATTTTTCAAATTTTCAATTCTTGACATTTCAAAATTTTCAATGTTTTGATTTCTCAATTTTTCGATTAAGCGATTTTTTGATTCTCATTTCTCGACTTTCCATTGTTTCAATGGAGGGTGGGTGGGCGGGGCTAGTGTTTGATAATATAAGACTGATATTGGCACTTTTGACATTTTCGATCATTTTTCAACTATTTCCGAAAATTAGTTGAAAACATTTTCTTGTAGATCGCTTTTTTTGACTTTATTCACATCCTAGATTTTATTATTAGTTTCCACTCCCACTCGACATAATAACATAATTAGCCCCGCCCACCCGCCCTGTCTCCTTTTCAGTAATTGATTTTATCCGATCTGAATGAAATGAATGATCTATTGAACAGAAACAAAATTATTTAGTCGTTAGAATGAATAGAAATAAATTTTACAACACATACTATTTACGATTAGCGTTTTTTTTTACGTTTATAAAATTAGTCGTTAGAATGAGAAGCTTAGCTTTAGCTCTTGCTAAAATAAGACTGATTTTGGGAAATAACATACCTTCCAAAAAAATTGAGGGCGGGTGGGAGGGGCTAATAGTTGCTAAGTTAAGACTGACTTTGGCAAATGATATACCTTCTAAGAAAATAGAGGGTGGGTGGGCAGTTTTTCGAATTTTTAAATTTCTAATTTTTCAGTTTTTGATGTTCTGACTTCTAGATCTTTCGGATTTTAGCCTTTTCGGTTTAAGATTTTTCAATTTTTAAATTTTTCCATTTTTCGAATTTTACATTCAAATTTTGATTTTTTAGTTTTTCAATCTTGGCCTCTTTCGATTTCTCGGTTTTTCAGTTTTTCGATTTTTGGATTTTTTATTTTGCGACTTCTCATTTCTCGGTTAATCGATTTTTTCTCGACTTTCCAATTTTTCGATTTGTTGACTCCTCGATTTTCTGATGTTTCGATTTCTTGATGTTTCAGTTTTTCAATTCTTCGATTTCTCGGTGTTTCAATTTTTTTTACTTTTCGACTTTACGATTTTTCGATTGTTTAAAATTTGGATTTTTGATTTCTCGGATTTTTGAATTCGATTTTTAAATTTTTCGATATTTTAGTTTTTTTTTAATATTTGTATATTTCAATCATCCGATGATTCAGTTTTACGGATTTTTCAAATTTTCAATTCTTGACATTTCAAAATTTTCAATGTTTTGATTTCTCAATTTTTCGATTAAGCGATTTTTTGATTTTCTCATTTCTCGACTCTCCATTGTTTCATTGGAGGGTGGGTGGGCGGGGCTAGTGTTTGATAATATAAGGCTGATATTGGCACTTTTGACATTTTCGATCATTTTTCAACAATTTCCGAAAATTAGTTGGACACATTTTCTTGTAGATCGCTTTTCTTTTACTTTATTCACATCCTAGATTTTATTATTAGTTTCCACTCCCACTCGACATTTGAACATAATTAGCCCCGCCCACCCGCCCTGTCTCCTTTTCAGTAATTGATTTTATCCGATCTGAATGAAATGAATGATCTATTGAACAGAAATAAAATTATTCAGTCGTTAGAATGAATAGAAATAAATTTTACAACACATAGCATTTACGATTAGCGTTTTTTTACGTTTATAAAATTAGTCGTTAGAATGAGAAGCTTAGCTTTAGCTCTTGCTAAAATACGACTGATTTTGGAAAATAACATACCTTCCAAAAAAATTGAGGGCGGGTGGGAGGGGCTAATAGTTGCTAAGATAAGACTAACTTTGGCAAATGATATATGTACCTTCTAAGAAAATAGAGGGTGGGTGGGCGGTGCTAGTTATTGCTAAGAAAAAACTAATTGTGGCACTTTTCACATTTTCTTGTAGTTTTCGATATCCAGAAGTCATTTTCGGCTTCGTTTCTTCGGAAATTCCCACCGTTTTTCCAAAATCGCTAATTGAAATACATCGATTTTGACACTTTCGTCAAAATAGCTCGGCATAAAAATTTTGTACGCAGATAAAAAAGGAAATTATTATTAGTTTTTGTTTCAGAAAATACAATTGTTTCAAGAATGTACTTTGTAGTTTTTATATATTTTCAGAGATGATTAAAATTTGCTAATTTGGGACAATAGAGGAGTCTGGACAGGTCAGGTCACGTTAGGTCAACGCAGGGCAGGTGCATGAAATAAGTAATATATTTTACAACAAATAGTATAACAAAAAAAGTTACGATTAGCACTTTTTTTTTACTTTTTTCACATCCTAGATTCTACTATTAGTTCCCACTCCCACTCAACAGAAGAACATAATTAGCTCGCCCACCCACCCCGTCTCCTTTTCAGTGATTGATTTTATTCGATCTGAATGAAATCAATGATCTTATACCGAACACAAATAAAATTAGTCGTTAGAATGAGAAAAGTGGGACTTGAGCGGGCCTAGTACTTGCTAAGATAAGACTAATTTTGGGAAATGACATACATTTTAAGAAAAGAGATGACGGGTGGATGAGATAGTATTTGATAAGATAAGACTGATTATGGCACTTTTGACAGTTTTGACCATTTTTAAACTATTTTCGAAAATTGGTTGAAGACATTTTCTTGTAGATTTCGAAATTCAGAAGTCATTTCATTCGTACCGTTTTTCCAAAATCGATAATTGAAATACAGCAATTTTTACAGTTTCGTAAATTATTATTAATTTTTGTTTCACAAAATATATTTTTTTAAGAATGTACTTTTACGTTTTCTTGACCTTTCATAACCCCCAGAGTACGAAGAAATAGGTCTGTCTGTCCGTCTGTCTTCCGTCCCGGATTGTAAATACACAGATAATCTCCGAAAGTACTGCGCGGATTGTTGTCAAATTTTGTTTGATATTTGGTATTAGGAATATCATCTAAATGGTAAAAAGCTAACCAAAAGTTGTCTAATAATCCCCACCGATAATATGATGACGTCACTTCTCTATACATGCAGTTTATGACTCCGTGGTTGAATTTTTACCCGAAACAATTTCATTTTAAATCTGCAGAACCGAAAGCATGGTAAATTGTTAATCAAAATATACCTGTTTATTCCTCCCAAAAAATTGATGACGTCATCTCAAAATTTTGCCGAATAAATTCCATTCCAGTCATTACAAAATTGGGCAAAGTAAAAACTCAACTCGAAAATACTGGATATGTTTTAAAGAACTTTGTTTTTATCTGACATTGTCATCCGTCAACAAGTCTGAACACTTATCAAACAAGATCAACATGTTGGAACCTGACATTACACTCTAAACTGCAAAACCCACTAATTTTCGCACGAAAAGAAATTACTGTGTCGAATTGAAAAAAATTGAATACGTTTTCATGTACACACTATCAATTACAGAAACTCAAGCAAAACTAACTTACCAAACCATCAAGTTCTTCATCTCCTGGTTTTGTCAGAGTGCCATGGAAGGTATCATGTTCCAGAGGTTTCACGATTTTCTTCCTACGACTCACTGGCGGCCTCATCTTGTGGTACCTCTGACGAAAAACGTATTAAAAACAAAAATTTCACCAATTTTGGACGGTATCACAGCGAATTTGTTATTGGACACAAAGTTTGAAACACCCACGTGATTGTCATTCTCGAAAAAGACGATCTTTTCTTGAAACGCACTATACATCTTAGGGCCGGTCTTTTCGCCTCCTGATAGAGTTCCTGAGAATTTTTATCTACAGGAAAATGTCAAATGGGGACTTCACTCTCTGACAAAATTATCTTCCAGATAATAATAAGAGCTATTGTTCGACAGATATAATCACCGATTCTTACTGATATCTAACGGCGACAACCGAAGGCGCAGCGAACTTACGCGATTGCTTGTTTCAAATTCACGTGTCATTTCTGCCAAAGACGGTGTTTACTTGAACCGAGAGTGATTTTCTTGATAAAAAATGGGTAAATCACATTTATTAATAATAATAAATTTGCATCAAATAATATGTCGATACCTTCATAGACATCCATCGCGCAACCAAAATAAAAGATAATATACGAAATAAATGAGGTTATGTTAGCAAACGTCAAAAACTGTTGCAAAGCCAGTTGCAAATAGTCTTTCTCGCTTATTCACATTACAATACCAATAGCTCTCACTCTCTCGCTTACAGCTGGACTAGCTGATTATTTTCGCAGATCCATTGCAAAACCACCCTTATTGACATTGGAGTCGTCAACCGCCAAAGTAAAGCGCCAAATTTAAATAGTCGATGCCAATAAAAAAACTTGATTCACTACGACTCGTCGCGTGAGAACTTGTTTGATTTACAGACCAGAGCGCGCTCAGGCCAATGTCGACTCTAAGCGTTCAGAAGCGATTTGGTTGGTTTAGACTATAATTTCTGCGGGAAATAGTTGTTTGGTCGGTTTTTATAACGACCAAGTGAATATTTTTGGTACATAAATATTTAGATGATTTTACATATTTTGTTTAAATAAGAATTAATTCTTTATTTGTGTTTTATACTAGCAAAATGTCTTAAACTAAGAACATTGTTGAAATCGTGATAACCCAATGGATTTTTTTCGAGAAAACGTTTTGGAAATACTGTCTTCTATTTTGTATGATTTTTTTTTTAATGTTTTTAGTGACAATTTTTGTGGTTGTTTTCGATACACTGTATGATATTAACAGTGAGAAAAAAATGGACAATTAAAATAATCGAAAATTCGAAAAATCGAAATATCGAAGAACTGAAAATAGAAAAAATGTAAAATTTAAAAACCGAATAACGAAAAATCGAAACTCCCAAATTTAAAAAATCGGATAACTGAAAAATCGAAAGATCGAAAAACTGGAAAATCGAAACCGAGATATCGAAAAATCAAAAGATCAAGAAATCGTGGAGTCAAAAAGTCGAATAATTGAGAAACCGAAATAGGTCAAAATCAAAAAATCGAAAAGTTAAAAATTGAACAATTTATAAATTGAGAAATTGACAATCAAAATATCGAAAAATCCAAATCTCGATAAATCGAGAAATCAAAAAACTTAAAAATTCGAAAAATTGAAAAATTGAGAGATTGGAAGATCAAAAGAACGAGATATCGAAAAGTGATGAAGTCGAAAAATCGAAAAATAGAGAAATCGACAAACAAAAAGTTAAAACTTGAAAAATTGGAAAAGCGGAAAAATCAAAAAACGAAAAAATGGAAAACTGGAAAAACTGAGAAACCGAAATGGGCCAACATAAAAAATTGAAAAACTGATAAATCCAAAACCTGAACAATCAAATCTCGATAAATCGGGAATGAAAAATTAACAAATCGAAAAATTGAAAAACAGAACATCTAAAACCAGGAAGTCGAAAGATTAAGAAATATTGAAAAATTAAAATATCACAAGATTGAAAAATCTAAAATTTAAAAATCCAAAAATTGAAAAATCGAAAAAGTAAAAAGGTGGACACATCGAAAAATCCAGAAGTCAAAAATAGAAGAGCCGAAGAATTGAAAAATCCTAAAACTGAAATATCTAAAAACTGAAAAATTGAAAAATCAAAAAAGTGAAGTCGAAAAATGGAAACCTTAAAAAATCGAAAAACTGAAAAATCAAAAACCTGAAAAATCAAAAAATTAAAGAATTGAAGAACAGGAAAATCGAAAGTCAAGAAATGGAAAAATCAAAACATCGATTAATTGAAAAATCGAAAAATTGAGAGTTTACGAAAGTCAAATTTGAAAATTAAAAAATCGAAAATTTGACAAAACGACAATTGAAAAACAGAAAATCTAAAACCGGGAAGTCGAAAAGTCAAAAGATTAAGAAAACGAAACATTTAAAAAATTTAAAAACTTGAAAAATTGAAATATCGAAGAACTGAAATGAAAAGTCGAAAAATATAAAATTTTATAAATTAAAAAATCTAAAATTTAAAAATCGAAAAAGTAAAAAAATCGACACATCCAAAAATCCAGGAGTCAAAAATCGAAAAGTCGAATCGAAATATTGAAAAATACCAAAAATTGAAAAATGGAAAAACTGAAAAATGAAAGAAAAACTAAAAATGGGAAACTAAATCGGGAAATCAAAACATTGAAAAATCGAAAAATTTAAAACGACAATTGAAAACAGAAAATCTAAAACCGGGAAGTCGAAAAATCGAAAGATTAAGCAATCGAAAAATTGAAAAATCGAAAAAGTAAAAAAATCGATACATCGAAAACTCCAGAAGCCAAAAATCGAAAAGTCGAAGTCCCAAAATATTGAAAAATCCCAAAACTGAAATATCGAAAAACTGAACAATGAAAGAAAAACTAAAAATGGGAAACTAAATCGGGAAATCAAAACACTGAAAAATCGAAAAATTTAAAACGACAATTAAAAACAGAAAATCTAAAATCGGGAAGTCGAAAAATCTAAAGGTTAAGCAATCGAAAAATTGAAAAATCGAAAAGGTAAAAAAATCAACACATCGAAAACTCCAGAAGCCAAAAATCGAAAAGTCGAAGAATCAGAATATTGAAAAATCCCAAACCTGAAATATCGAAAAACTGAAAAATGGATGAAAAACTAAAAATGGGAAACTAAATCGAGAAATCAAAACATTGAAAAATCGAAAAATTTAAAACGACAATTGAAAACAGAAAATCTAAAACCGGGACGTCGAAAAATCGAAAGATTAAGCAATCGAAAAATTGAAAAATCGAAAAAGTAAAAAAATCGACACATCGAAAACTCCAGAAGCCAAAAATCGAAAAGTCGAAGAATCAAAATATTGAAAAATCCCAAAACTAAAATATCGAAAAACCGAAAAATGAAAGAAAAACTGAAAAATGGAAAACCTGAAAAATCCCAAAACTGAAATATCCAAAAACTGAGAACCTAAAAAATCGAAAAATAATAGAAAAATCCAAAATGTGAAGTCGAAAATTTTAAACCACAGAAAAATTAAAAAATAAAAAATCAAAAACCTGAAAAATGGAAAAATTAAAGATTTGAAGAACAGGAATATCGAAACCCTCGAAAGTCAAGAAATGGGAAAATCAAAATATCGATTAATTGAAAAATTGACAGTTTATAAATGTCAAATTTGAAAAATTGAAAAATCGAAAATTTGAAAAAACGTCAATTGAAAAACAGAAAATCTAAAACCGGGAAGTCGAAAAATGGATTGATTAAGAAATCAAAACATTAATTTGAAAAAGTCGAAAACTTGAAAAACTGAAATATCAAAAAACTGAAAAATCTAAAGTTTAAAAATCGAAAAATTGAAAAAACGACAATCGAAAAACAGAAAATTTAAAACCTGGAAGTCGAGAAATCGTAAGATTAAGAAATCGAAACATTTGAAAAATTGAAATATGGAAGAGCTGAAATGAAAAATCGAGAAATCGAAAAATCTAAAATTTTAAATATTAAAAAATTAAAATACCAAAAAATTGAGAAATCTAAAATTTAAAAATCTAAAAAGTAAAAAGTTTACATATCGAAAAATCCATAAGTCAAAAATGGAAAAGTCGAAAAACAGAAATGTTGAAAAATCCCAAAACTGAAATATCGATAAACTGGAAAATGAAAGAAAAATTGACGAATCGAAAAACTGAAAAAACCCAAAACTGAGAATCCAAAGAATCGAAAAATTGAGAAATCTAAAAATCAAAAAAGTGAAGTCGAAATATCGAAACCTTAAAAAAATCGAAAAATTGAAAAATCAAAAACCTGCAAAATCGTAAGATCGAAAAATTGAATAATAAGTAAACTGAAAAATCCCAAAACTGAAATGTCCAAAAACTGAGAAATTAAAAAATTAAAAAATCGAGAAATTGAAGAGGAAAACTGAAAACCGAGAAATTGAAAAATTGAGAAATTGTAAAATCCAAAAATTGAAAAATACATAGGAGTAAACTGAAAAGTCCCCAAACTAAACTTTCGAAAAACTGAGAATTCGAAAGTTGAAACAGCAGAAATTAAGGTTAGGATGTATATCAAATCACGGATCATGGCTTATAAATCAAATCGTTTCCGAACGCTTCGAGTCGACATTGGCCTGAGTGCGCTCTGGTCTGTAGATCAAACAAGTTCTCAGACGACCCTTGCAATATTCTGGTAAATCTAATGTCAATTTGTCGAAAGTAAAACGCGTCGTTAAAAATATTATGACATTTTTTTCTATTGTAGTTAAACGTAATTAATGCAATTTCAGATTATATGTAGTTGTATGTATTATTGGTTGCATAGCATTTGGGAGTTTTCTTATTATCACAGTATAGATATGATCTCTATACTGTTGTTATTATAATTTAAAACATGTTAGGCAACCATAAAAACAACGAATTATAGCATAGCACATCTTTGTGTAAATTATCTGTTCCAAATCTTTGCAAAATTGGATAATAGGATGATTAGGTAACACATTTGAGATGTCCTCTTTTGAAACATCACATTTACAGTGTCGTATCGGTTGCCAAATTCTTCTTCATTGTGATTTAATTTACCTGGAGTGCGGGATGTACCCTTCTTGGAAAGAGCAGACAATATACTTCCGTAAATTCGTAGGATTAGCTGCTTAGAAATAATTCTACAGTTCCGTTAAATTCATAATAATAACGAGAAATTCTTTGTGTTTGTGTTTTCTGGAAACTAATGGTTAATGCCCCAATGAATTTAAACAAAATCAGAAAACTTATTTATAGTGATACCGACAGTTTTATATATGAGATTAAAGAGGCTGTAGGTATCATTCCTGTACACCCTGAGCCCCGGGAGCGCAAATTCTCATGAAATATATTTACAGCAGATAACCAAGGAGAAAGAAAATAAAATTATTTTTCCTGCGTATTACTAACAGAGCAGCTAAAGAGCTTCGTTTTTATTTGTCATTGTCATTCTTCAACAAGTCTGAACACGTATCAATGCTGTCAACAGGTTTGAATATGCTGAAACCTGACACCACACTGTAGACTACACATCTATTCAAAACAGGAATTTTCACATGAAAAGAAATGACTGTATCGAATTTAAAAAACTGAAGACGTTTTAGAAATTACATACACTCAATAAATCTCCCCACCCCATACACCAAAAATAACTTACCGAACCATCCAGTTCTTCACCTCCTGGTTTTGTCAAAGTGCCATGGAAGGTAGTTTGCTCCAGAGGTTTCCCAATTTTCTTCTTACGATGCATTGGCGGCTTCATCGTGTCTTTTCGGTGAATAATAAAGAAACCAGTGCAAAACTCTGACGAAAAACGTGTTTAATGTTCACCAGTCTTGGGCGGTTATCACAGTGGACACAAAGTTTGAAACACCCACGAGATTGTCACTCTCAAGACGATGCACGAATGGTGAGTAAATCACGCAAGGACTAAATCGATATTTTCTTGAAACCCACTGCAAAATGTACATCTTACTGTGCAGAAATTAATTTTCTTCGACAGGCCATAACCTTAATAACACCCCAACTTCCCGGCAAAAATCTTAGCCAATGACATCGCCGGTGGGGGTGACATGCGCAGTCAAAACGATCAAGCGTGTTTTGATGTTGAGTACCAGAGGTCAACTACATTTAAATTATTGTATTTTTTTTTTTTTTTTTAGTAATAATAGAGAAAAACGGGTGAGGAAGGGGTGATAAATTTATGTAAAACGGAGTTAATGCGATTTCAGATTATGGTTGTATTATTGGTTGTATAGCATTTGATACTTTTCCGTTTACATATAATTTAAAATATGTTAGGCAACCAGAAAAACAACAATTGCAGATAACGCGGTACAGATGGTAATAATGACCGCCGCCCACGGCCATGGTCCTAGCCATTGCAGGTGGTAATTTTAAGCCGGAAGTGTGTGGGTAAATCCACAGTTGTAAATTACTCTCGGCCCCTGTCTCGTGCAGCAAATCCGGTCCCTGATCAGTTGATTCAGATGAAATTATTTTTTAATTTAGAAATTTTTTAAATTGTAATCCAAATCTTGAAAATCTCATATTATAAGAGCTAGTTTTAAAATGAGCTGGGATTCGAAGAAGAGCTGACCTGTTTATGCAGATATAATACATACGAGTTCCATAAAAACAGTAAATATTAGGCTCATTTCCGACTAAACCAAAGTGCAAAAAAGTGAAAATATTGTAAAATAATTTTTTTAATGCTGACACATATTTCGTCGGTATGCTACTGTAATGTTCATTTGGACTATTCGTCTTATTAATTAGACACTCAAGTAAGTGATTCATGCTTTTTTTCTCACAAGTTTAAAGTTTGTCAATTAAACGAGTGAAAAAAATAGCTTTCAAACGTGTTACACGCCTCAATTTTTTTTTAATAAAAAATGGCTTTAAAATTATTACAACTGTCAAATTAAAAATTTATAGATTTATCATAATCAATGAAATCGTGAAAAAACTCTCGTTACAGTTTTAAGTGAAAAAGTATTATTTTCATTACGTTTGATAGTTTAAAAAATTAAATATATATATTTTTTAATGAATTTGGTGCAAAGAAATTTGAATTTATATGTTAACAATTAATCTTGGAGTTTACTGCATTCTTTGCAGAAAATTTTTTGGTCACTACAAATTAGTTCTGGATTATCTGTAATCCATGATAAAACCAAAGATGTTTTTTCATTCAGAACTTTTTTGAACGCTCACACTCTTAATGGGGCGCTTGTAGATACGAAAGAATAATAATTTATCTCATTCCCTTTGCTAAGTGCCTACATACCAATCTCCACTTTTACGCCATTTGTGTAAACAAGATCGTAAAAAGACTAGTTTTGACCATGGAACAAAGAATATACTCATACTGGAGGAAGTGCCAGACTTAAAATGATGGTTTCGAGCCAAACCGGTAAAGTGTCATAAACAGTACCCCTCATTACCCAGATAAGACTGCCGATGACAGTGACGTACAGTTTTTTTTTTTAAGCGGCTCATGGAATAAAAATTGTTGAATAAAACAACGCACATAACAGATTTATATTATCTATTAATTAATCTTTTTTAAAATATTTAAATCAATCAATACATCACGAATAACAAGTAATTCAAACAGTGAATACCGTTAAAAAGTAGAAACAACCAGGATGACGACGCCACTGAGTAGTGGTTATTCGCAATGGCGTGACTCATTTTTAGCTTGGGAAGTTTATTGAGGGGCATTTCACTCGGAAGGCCGACTATTCACTCAGAATTATTTGCCTAATCTGCCGGATGTAGGTGGACAGATGTAAACTACGGTTTTAATCTTCTCCAGCCCATGTTGTAAATTTTTGTAGGATGCAAAGTGCGGAGAATAATAAAATCAGGTAGCAGCCCGTAGCAGGGTCATTCATGGAAAACTGCGAACCAATTATTTCTTCCCTTTTTTTTTAGATCTAAGATCTGTTTTACACGTCACAGAAATATCTATCGTAAAAGGAATTTTTAGAAATAATTTTCTCGTGATTAATCGGTTGCAAAAGATCAAGAGGCACTCGAAGCAAGCCCTGACAAAGTTATTAGCGGCGCCAGCGGAGATCTCCAGCTGGCTGCGGTACCACCATGGACACTCGCGTAACCTCCGTTTCCAGAATTGTCAAAATGGCATTGCCAGACTCAAAGCAATCATGGATTAAGCATTTCATTTTAAATTCAGTTAGTATCAAGTGGTAAACGGTATTCGTATTTTGGGTTGCCTAAAAATAATTTTCAGAAATAATTTTCTCGTGACTAACCCTGTATATGTATTTTTTACATCCACATATGGTACAACTGAATTTTTCTTCAGTACAATACTAGCCACATAATAATAATTAAAAAGTAAGTTTTTAGTTGCATAAGTACCTAGATTTCTTAGATTTCCCGGTAACACAAAATTATTCTTGACGCTCTAACAAAAGTTTTTGCAATATATATTTACAATACACGTAAACCTTTCTCAAACCCTATAAAAAATCCGTTGCAATTTACAAGGGATTAAAATAAGTATTAGATCCGTCCAGTGGAATTTACATTCGCTGCATATGGATACTCTAGATGTATGTACTATCAGTTCATAAATTTTATTGTTTGGTGATACGTATAAAGGCAAGAATAGACAATAGAGGCAATTCTGTATCAAAATGTGTTAAAATTTAAAGGTTGTTAAAAATATGATTTTTTAAATAATCTATACTTATATAATAAAGCGGAAGCTTTTGTTTATTTGAACACCCATATCTCAGAAACTACTGGTTCAATTTCAAAAAATCTTTTTGTGTTGGATAGTCCATGTATCATATCTACATATAGGCTATATAACATCACGCTACGATCATTAGGAGCGAAGTAGCAATGAAAAATTCGGAAAAACGGGAAAATTATTCCTCCTTTGACTTCCGTTGCTTACGCTGCTTAAACGGTTAAAGTTACGTAAAAATCATGTATGACGAAATTGTTCTCCTCTAAAAGTTCTAAAGAAAAGTCCGCGACAGCATATGTCTATCTTTTAAGGTCGAGTCAGTATAACCTTTTTTATGGTAATGAAATTTGTTCTAAAATAATAATGCATTATGTATAAAATTCTCGCGTCACAGTGTTTGTAACCGAACTTCCCCGAAATGGGTTGACCGATTTGTATGAAATTTTTTATGTATATTCGGTAGGTCTGAAAATAAGTTGTAAACTATTTTTTAAACCTCTAAGTGATAAGGGTGGCCCACCCTAAAAAATGTTTGTCTATTTTTTGGACCAAATTTTTTATTTTTATTTTTTTAAGATTTGGCATCAAAAAATACACATAACCCTAAATTTTTACCTTTCTACCACCAACCCCCATTTTTTAATCGTCTATAAAATAAAAATCAATTGCTGTTCCTGTTAGTCTCGCTAAAACTCAAAAACGGTTTGACCGATTTGATTTTTTTTTTTATATTACGGGGATGGTTTATAAATAAAACAAATAAGGATAACTTAAAAGAACAGTTAAAAAATAAAAAAATTCTAAAAATTTTGTATGGGAATCGCCACTTCGAATTAATTTCAATATTTGGCGTTTCTGACGGACCTGTCGTCTAACTGACGTGTCATACAAAACTAATTCTTCCGTGCGATTGTTGATTGACTGTGAAAATAATTCTGTGTCGCTTTATGAAGTTGATTACAATGCCGAGAAGACGACAAGCTGACATAGGTCCACGAAGTCAATCAAATGTGCGACGAACTACCTCAGGTGCAAACAGCAATGATTTATTTCATGGGTAATTCGGATACGGAAGTTGATCAGCGTTGTGCTCATAATCAACATAATCAAACATTGAAGCGAGACATTGGGTGGTATGAATAAAACTGAGTAGATACTCATATTCGAAGTACGAAGTACCTACTTCATTATTACTCTTATATACGTGAGCATCTACTCTATGTACTGAGTACCTACTTGGGAACATTGTATCTCCCCGGACACAAACTGAACATCTACGCGTTTTGTGAGCATTTAATCTAGAAATGAGCATCGGCGTGGCAAATAACTGAGCTGCCTGTAAAACAGCTTAGAAAACCAGTAGGATCGTTGTAAGAGTGAGTTTTAACTAAACATGGTGACTTTCATGAACCTGGAACGTCGTCTAAAGGTGCATTCAGTTTGAAAAACACATTAGGAGCAGGAATATCGAAAACTTTTCATGTAATTAACTTTTATTTACGCATAAATTGTGCAGTGCGTTTTTTCTAACACTGGCCATAGAGATTCCCATCTCAAGGTGTCTACCCAATGCTAACTTATATTTTGGTGACTCGATTTTTGCCTTGATGGTTGAACACTGTCACTGTTGTCCTTTTTTGTTGTATCGAGATACTACTTGAGCATCAACTGTTACTTACTGAAGTATTAGTATCATCTAGAAAAACTAGAAATATTTTGATTTGATATTGGAGTAGATACTTCGTATTTCGAGTATGAGCATCTACTGAGTTTTATTTATTTCAACCATTATCAAAAAATTGATCGAACGTTGTTTCGACAGAACTTCTTTCGCACCAAAAGTATAATGAAACCTATTCAGCATTTTCGAGTTGAGTCTGTTCTTCACACAATTTTGTAATGACCTAATCAACATTTACTATCAACACGTATACCACCTTGGATTGGTGCAGTGTAATACTAAAAATAACTGTATTGTATTCCCAAAATTATCTGCGAAAATCGAGTGAGCCATTCCATCAATTTTTTGGGGGGGAATAAATAAATATTCTTAACAATTTACCATGCTTACAATAACTTTAAAACGTCTGCAAGATCTCAAAGTATTCATTTTTGCAACTCTTGAGTTATTCACTAAAATAAATTGACTGATCCATATATTTTTTTGAGTCACTGTAAAAGCAAATTTAAAAAATAAAAATGCAATGATAAATTACGAAAATATACTGATGATGTTTTCCACATTTTAGATAGGATTTATTCGGCAAAATCTTGAGATGACGTCTTCAAGTTTTTGGGCTTGATAAACAGATATATTTTGATTGAAAATCTACCATGTCAAGCAGTAACTTCAAAACGTCTGCAATATTTCAAAATTCAGTTTTGCAATTCTTGATTCAATCAATAAAATAAATTGACGCAGTGATTAATTTTTTTGAGACACCCCCTATAAGCAAAACTAAAAAATATGGATGGAATGATAAATCGCAAGTATAGTCTCATCCTATTTTGGACATTTTAGATAGGATTCATTTGGCAAAATTTTGCGCTGACGTCATCAATTTTTTGGAGGAAATAAGTAAGTATATTTTGAATAAAAATTTATTATGCTTATCATATGTTTAAAACATCTGCAAGATTTCAAAGCATTCGATTTTGCAGATTCAAAATTAAATTGTAGGTGAAACGAAGTTCACGGGGTCAGCTAGTTGTATAATAAATCTAGTTAAGAACAATAAGCACTTTCTTTATGTTGAGTACTTATTATAATGAAGCTAGTTCCTATAATACATATAATAGGTAAAATAAGGAAAAGGAGACGTTTAGGTCAATTTTATGCATTCTGGCGTTCGTAGATACAAGAAAATTGTTAAAATTCTTCAGAAACGTCACTTTTGAAGTGTTTTCTTGTACTTTTAGGCCAATCAGAAACCCTATGGGCTCGGAAAGAGCAACGAAACCATCAAATTTTAGCTAGAAACTGTATTTTTGCCGATTTTTATTGAATATGAACTATATTTCAACATTTTTTTATGGTTCTGAGCGACTAAACACACTTAAAGCATGCAGAATCGTCTCAGATTAGGAAAAGGAGACGTTTAGGTCAATTTTATGCATTCTGGCGTTCGTAGATACAAGAAAATTGTTAAAATTCTTCAGAAACGTCACTTTTGAAGTGTTTTCTTGTACTTTTAAGCCAATCAGAAACGGGTCGTAATTAAGTGTGCATTATTTTTAATACTTTCTGCATTAAATTTTATACTATGCGCAATAACATTTGTGCATTAAATTTACTATGTTGCGTCATAAGTTTTTGCATTTTGTGCATTATACTAAGTGCAAATTGGAATAATAAAATTATTGTTTTGGGCAATGATTTTCTGTACTGCGTGCATTATTGAAACTGTATAGAAAATAACAAACAAAAAATAGACCTGCTGTATTAAAATGTATTTTATGAATGCATACAAAATTAACAAAAACATAAAATATTCATTGCAAAAAAGTAGCTAAACAAATTAAAGGTTTTGAAAAAATAAACAAAAAAACTTAAAATAAACATTCTTTCATCAAAAAACTTAATTACTAAACATTATTAATTTAGTGAATAATAATTAATGCTTTTTTTGCTTTAGAAGGGCGAATTCCTTCCCTGCCAAACTGGGGCGAAATAAAGCACATGACACGTCTTTTAAAGACTGAGAGTGTAATGCCCATTTTACTGTGAACTAATGCACATTTTAGTAATTTACGGAACATTTGAAATGCTCGTTTATTTTTTCTCAAATACAAATTGATTTATTAAAGAAACAGTTATTTTAACGAATGAGCAAATTTAATTAAATAATTCTAAATTGCATTATTTATTACGCAAATAGAAAAAATAATCTGCCATTATTTTATTTATTGCCCTTTCAATTTTACAAATGCTGAAATAGTTTCTTCTGTGCTGAAATGTTTTTAATAATGCTGGGACCTATTTCACATTTGATTAAAACTAGTGCGCTTTTAAATCGTTCTCATCAGAAACCCTACGGGCTCGGAACGAGCAACGAAACCATCAAATTTTAGCTAGAAACTGTATTTTTGTCGGTTTTTATTGAATATGAACTATATTTCAACATTTTTTTATGGTTCTGAGCGACTAAACACACTTAAAGCAACGACATAAATAATAACAATCTCTTAAAAAAAATAACCAAAATGACAATTTATTAATAAAAAATCTTATGTAACAAGGTGTTTACGCTCGTATTTTTTAATTTTTAAAGTGCAACTACAAACTTCTTCACTTATCTATATTCAAATTGTTTTTAATTCGATATTTACACCTTACCTGATTGCTAAATTTATTGCGACTTAAAATTCAGAATACAAAATATTTAGTTTTAATAAAAGAAAATACTTCCCGATGAATTTTACCTTGCGATCAACTGACGCTGCGATAAATTGTCGCGTGCGACCAATTGTCGCGCGATCAGTTGTTTGCGACCAGTTGTCGTAGAATCGCGATTTCCGGTTGTCTGTTAGAATAGCGAAGGCAACTGAAATTGTTACTAGGAATTCTTTTAAAGTTTCTTCGCTTTCCCCTTAAAAAAAAAAAAACACCAAAAATGCCGACTGCTAAAAAAAGACAAAGAGTGAAGATTCGATTGATGATATAGGACCGACTTGGAAGCTTTGTGAAAATGTTGTGTACATAACAAACGACTTTGTCAAGAAAATAACTACTGAAGCTTGAATGGAAATAGGTAACCTACGCCGTCAAATCCTAAAGTCACTGAAAAGGTACATAGGCCGCTGGTTAGTGATTGTAATGAGTAATAAAACGATTGGATTTTTTAAATTGAATCAAAGAATACAATGCAAAGTAATGAAATGAACTATCGATAACAGCAAAAAACAAATTTGTTTACTATTTTTAATTAACAGCTTGTGTATATACTATATGTATACACCCGATAAACGACAAATTTCTTTCAGTACTGGTATTTTAGTCAAGTCTAATAAAGCATTCTTAAAAATGCTAATGGTGTCTCTGTTTTTGGTTTTTATTACTGCAGCTTGTATCATATTTATTGTCATCTTCAAATGGATATTTCAGTACTGGCACAGGAAAAAACTCCCATTCCTAAAACCCCAAATACCTTTTGGCAACTACCCCAACTTCTTTAAAAGTAAAGAAAATTTAGGGATGGAAACAGCCCAGTTGTATGCCCAAATGAAAAAGAAAGGTTGGAAGCATGGCGGTATTTACATTCTCACTTTCCCAATCTACATGTTTGTACATCTCGACTATCTCAAGAACGTCGTCGAAGATGATGGCCATTTTTGTGACCGTTTGCTTGTTGGTAACCCGAAAGTAGAGCCCTTGCATGCTCATCTGATGAACCTAAAAGGCACACAATGGAGATATATGAGAACTAAACTAAGTCCGGGCTTCACCTCAGGAAAAACAAAGATGATGTTTGATATTATTAAACAATGTCAAGATTGTTTAGTCAAGAAAGTGGAGAATCTCGGCTGTGTTGAAGTGGAGGAACTTTGCAAAAATTTTACCACAGACGTGATTGGGTCTTGTGCATTTGGACTCGACTGTAAGTCTATGGAAAACGAAATTTCTCCTTTTAAAATTTACACTCGAAGAGCTCTCCCCACAACAACACTAATTAGTCGCTTAAAATTGACATTTTTTTCTAATTTTCCAAGATTCGGCTCATTTTTGAATATTCGCACTATTGATAAAGATGTGCATGATTTTTTCATGAATTTGGTACACGAAGTGATTGAATACCGGGAGAAAAATGGAGACAGTCGCAACGATTTTATCCAGTCGTTAATAGAAATTAAGAAATCCGGTTCTCTAACTGTTGAAGATATCGCTGCCCAAACTTTTGTGTTCTTTTTGGCAGGGCTTGAAACGTCTGCACTTTTAATGGCTTGGACGTTGTACGAACTTGCGAAAAATTTAGAGATCCAGGAGGGACTTCGGGATGAGATTTGTGAGGTTTTGGAAAAATTTGATGGAAGAATCTGTTACCAATCTTTGCAAGAAATGAAATATTTCGATCAGGTGATGAATGGTGAGTTTTCTGGGTGCACTCGCAAAAGGAAAAACCCAAATTGATTTTTTAGAAACCATGAGAAAATTTCCTCCGGTTCCGTTCGTCAATAGAGTGTGTACAAAAGACTACAAAATACCAGAAGAAGACACTATTATTGAAAAAGGGACGGCTGTGGTTATACCAATTTTGGGAATCCATCGCGACGCAGACTATTATCCTGATCCAGAAAAGTTTGACCCGGGACGATTCAGCGAAGAGAATAAAAAGAAAATGCCTAGTTGTGCGTACATTCCTTTTGGAAAAGGGCCTAGAAGTTGTATAGGTACATAATTAAGTCCAAGTTTGCATTTATTTCAAATTTTAATTGAATTTTAGGTATGCGACTCGGCTTGTTACAGGCCAAAGTCGGTTTATGTGGTCTTGTCAGAAATTTTCGTTTTACACTAAACGAAAAGACACCAGACGTTATGAGACTAAATCCAGGCAGTTTGTTTTCTTCACCGGAAGGAGGAATTTGGTTAGATGTAGAAAAATGTCTTTAGAACTCATAAAAAGTTGTTCTATGTAATATTTTCTCTTTTTTGGTATTAGTGTAAATAACCAATGAATTGATTGCAGTCGTGTACTTTCGAAATCTACTTGATTAATGAGAACTTTTGTACATTCAGTATATCCTTTGTATGTAACATAGGTATGTCACGAAAGTTTTAGGACAAATTTCAAAACAAAATATAGCAAGAATATAATTTATTTACTTAATTGTCGTATGTGACCAGTTGTACTTGCGACGAATTGTGTTGCGATGAATTGTGTCTGCGACCAATTGACGCGCGACGAATTGACGCTGTGTTTTTTTTGCAAAAATAGTAATGTCAGCTTGGGCAGAATCAAGTGTTAACAGGAAATATCCTCAAATGATATGTTTTTAGAAGAAAACTATGAATGAAAAATCTTAATGGGACTCGCTAGACGAGGTATAACATTTTTTTGGTTTTTTGTATGAAAAATGGTATTAATATAGATGTATCATACATCAAACTGCAGCTTTTTTCATATTCTAGAGCGCAGAGACCAGTTCAATCAACTAAAAAAATATGGCTGAGAAATATCGTAAAAAAAGCACCATTGTATGTTTTCTTTTCAAGTTTTGTGAGTCATAACCATCATAGAATCGCTTGAAAATTCGCACATGGATAAAACATCACTTTTTACAGGGCGCAGAGTCATTAAATGTTTGTTAGTGGTACAATTTGTTTAAATAATAATGTGTTTATTAAAATCAAAATATACCACAAATTAATGCAAAATACGTCGAATAATTTTAACAGGAATATCAGAGGAAAATTAATGATCTATTGGTTAGCAGAGTTTTTAACAAAAACTAACAATTATTGAAAAAAATGGGTATCAATTTGACAGAATTTGAGCAGTTAGTTCAGTACTTTGCCGATAGGAGCACCACTAAAATTTACGGAAGCGACTTTCAGGTAAAACCCTTATCGCCTGCTTTACCATAAGCTGATTGTTAGAGTTCTCGGCTGATTTTTCTAATTTATGGCAAGGAACTCAGCTTTATAACAAGCCGCCAGGACCGGCCGTAGTAATCTATTGTTAAGAAAATTAACTTTTACGCAATGAGGTTCTATCATAAAACCGAATTAAAACTGGGGAACTATAATATTTTTACTCCACTCAGGATCCTGAATTCAATACACATGATTACTAAAAATTCATTGTAATATTATTGTTAATATATATTTTGCTTTCTTAATTAATAAAACTAATAAACATATTTATAATAATAATAAAAATATATAAAATACAGCTTTTGTTTAACACGTATAAGTAGCTAAGTGTATCTACTACTTATCCCAGAAAGGAGGTGTTTTAAAAAAGCCCTACGCCCAGTAACTTCTCCCTTCATTGTTTACTCGAAAAAAGTGCTCGTATATGTTTTCATTTGTCGAGAGATCATTTTCAAAATATATTTATAATAAAAATATGCAAGTCTTGGTAATGAAAAATGTACTCCTAATAAATTATTAAAGTACATAAAAAAATAGAAACAAATTTTATTTATTTTAAAAAAATCTCGCAAAGGCAGGTTCCTATTTCTTCTTGAATCAATTATTTCGGGCAATAATGCGCCAAAGCAAAATCTGCCAAGTTTATCAGCCATCTTTTTACATATATTTCTTCGTCTTTATAAATTTTTTCTATATTTATTCCATTGAGTGTCCATACAACAAAATAAACTTGTGAAATACCCGTAACAAGCATTTGTCCCTGGACTTGAAAGTAGTAATCATGATTTTTTTTTTTAGTTTCAATTCTCTGTCTGTCAATGTACAAAATTTGATTTTTTTTTTCTAACCGCTTCTTCGGGAGACAAATCTTGCGATTTTGAAGGGCATTTAATTTCGACTAATGCACTCCTATCCTCTAGAACCCTGTCTGGACTAGCAGCCAAGTAAGGAAATTGTTTTCAAATAAACAAGACACACTGTTCAGTTTTATATTTTTATTTATTTCAAAACACTTGACAGCTTTTTCCTCACTTTGCAGTCCATAGTATGTATGACTATTACCTCTAAATGTACTGTACAACAGAGACTCCACAGTTTTAGCTACTGCTGTAGCCGGTCTAAGTTTGTAAATACGTCCAAAATTTGAAGCCGTAACCCTAATTTTTCTTTCTTTTGCCCAAATGTGCCTGTTGCCTAATGTCTATTTCATTTTGGTCTAAATTCAAAGATAATTTTCTCAAAAAAACCTCTTTGGCTGTCACAAATGTTTCTACATCCATGACAGGATTTTCTAAAAAATACTTAAACCATAATCGCAGTCGGAAGCAGCATACATACATTTTTTTACGACATATTTTTTTACGAATACTTTGTCTAAGACGAGCTTGTTTTATAGACGAACAATATTTTTTTGTTATTAAACCAAGACCGTTTTAATCACAATATATTTATTTATCCCCTCTAAAAAATTGATGACGTCACCTCAAAATTTTGCTGAATAAATCCTATCTAAATTGTATAAAATATGATGAGTCTCTTCTTGTGATTTATCATTCCATTCATGTTTTTTGGATTTGCATATACACGATGACCCCAAAAACTACTGAATGCGTAACTTAATATTAAACAATGAAAAAAAAAAACATAATAGGCATGCAGTCGTCACGTTTCCGATAGCGAGGGAAGTACTGTCTAAACTCTTTAGACCAATTTTTTTGATTTTCCCATTTTTCCATTTCTCAATTTTTCAATGTTTCAGTTTGGGATTTTTTCACTGTTTTGATTCTTTAATTTTCCTTCCATTTTTAGGTTTTTCAATATTTCAGCTTTGGAATTTTGCAATATTTCGTTTCTTCAATTTTTCAAATTTTTGATATTGTGTTTCCTCGGTTTTTAAATTTTTCGATATTTTAATTTTTCTGTTTTTAAAGTTTTAGGTTTTTAGATTTCTCACTATCTCGACTTTTCGATTTTTCAGTTCCATGATTTTTCAATTTATCGAATTTTTAAATTTTAGATTTTTTGTTCTCGATCATTCAATTTTCTGAGTTTTCAGGCTTAGATTTTTTTTGTTGTTCAATTCTTGGATTTTTAAAATTTTTGTTTTTCAAATTTTCCAAATTTATCAACTTACTGGGATTTCAATGTTTTGATTTTTTGATTGTTCAATTTCTCGATTTTTTGAATTTTTAGTTTTTGATACGATTTTTTTTTCAAAAATTGTCAGTTTTTCAATTTATTAACTTTACGATATTTCAGTTTTACGATTTTTAATTTTTTTTATTTTTCAGTTTTCAATTTTTGACGTTTCTAAATTTTTTGATTTTTCAATTTTTCGATTAACTGATTTTTTGATTTTCCCATTTCTCTATTTCTTGATTTTTCAATTCTTTCTTCAATTGTGATTTTTCAATTTTTCGATTTCTGGATTTTTCAATGTTTCAGTTTTGGATTTTTTCACTTTTCCGATTCTTCAATTTTCTTTCCATTTTTCAGTTTTTCAAGATTTCAGTTTTGAATTTTTTCACTTTTTCGATTTTTCAATTTTCATACCATTTTTCAGTTTTTCAATATTTCAGTTCTGGGATTTTGCAATGTTTCGGTTCTTCCATTTTTCCATTTTTTGATGTTTCGATTTCTCGGTTTTTCAATTTTTCGATAGGTATTTTAATTTTTCAATTTTTAAGTTCTAGATTTTCCGTTAATTTTATTGTTTTCCTTGATGTTTTGATTTCTCGATTATTCGATTTTTCAAGTTCTCGGTTTAGATTTTTTGGTTTTCCAATTCTTCGATTTTTAAATTGTTTAATTTTTAGATTGTTCAATTTCTCGATTTATAGATTTTTCAATTTTTCGGTTTACTGATTTTTTTCATTTAAAATGTTTCAATTTTTCAATTATTAAGTTTTCGATTTTTCAATTTTGGTGTAATTTGAAAACGGTATTAATAATACATTTAGGCGAATAAACTAATAGACGGGCTTGATAAGCCTTGTTTGCTCTACAGTGTCTAAATTGTGTTTGAATAATATAATAATTATCTCGAATATTAAAATTAATATGTCAAAAGAATAGGAGAAATGATTATTCTGTGCTGAAGGTATGTTGTGGGCGCCTGTCATAAATTATCATTATTCTGCATTATCGGCTTACGACGCTTTTATGACCCACGTCCGGTAGTCGTCTATCCCAGCGCGTCAGGTAGATTTAAAGAAGAATTGCTGGTTGCGTTTAAGGCAACAAATGGCGCCCAATTCAAACTTGTCTCTCGTCTAGCGATCCCCTTTAATATTCCGACGTTGTGGAAAAACCCAGAGTGACTAAACCACCGGGAATATTTTGCGTAAGTTATTATCATTATCAACAGTGGGTACAGTTGGTTGAAAAAACAACCAATTACGTAAAATATCCCAGTAATTGACACCTTTATGACTTTTTCCCTCTTTTATAGTTGTTGCGATAAAGATAAGAATAGAAATGACGAACACAATAAAATTATCAAGGCCGGCTCTACATAGTAGAAGAGGCAAATGAGTCATTTATACACAGCTGTAATACCACCCTAAGAACTGCCGCTAAACTGCCTATGAGCCCGCGCCCCACCTATTGTACAATGGTTGTTAAAAGTGGGGTACCAAAGGATATACTGGATGAACAAAAAATGCCATTCATCAAGTGGTAATTCAGATTTTAATAAACGCATTGACTGTTTTTCAAAATTGGCAACCACTCCATGTACTATAACATGTATAGATACATTCTGTTTTCATCAATTCTAAAGACACTTTTCTAAATTTAACCAAATTGGTGCCCCTGGTGAACAAAACAAACTGCCTGGATCCAGTGGCATAACGTCTGGTGTCTTTTCGTTTATTGTAAAACGAAAATTTCTGACAAGACCACATAAACCAATTTTGGATTCTAACAATCCGAGTCGCATACCTAAAATTCAACCATAATAATGAAACAAAAAAAAAACTTCACTATACTTAGACTTGATTATATACCTATACAAC